CCCTACGCAGAGCACACCCCAGTAATTCAAGTGGGAGATTACCAGAGCATTTAGCACTCTGGCGAGACAGTCTGCGGCCAGGTAGGGACCATCCGAATCCGTCTCACCTCCTTGTGTGGAGGGACAGGCTTGCGGAGAAGTCTAGTTGCACCAGAAAGTGATCTAACCATGGCACTTCTATTGATGCTACATTTGTCAAAGAGAAAAATAACTACCAGACATCTGAAGGCAGCCCTGTTTAGGGAAGCTTTTAATGTTTAATAGGTTATTGTATTTTAGTGTTTTGTTGGAAGCCGCACAGAGTGGCTGGGGAAACCCAGCCAGATGGGCGGGGTATAAATAAATTATTATTATTATTATTATTATTATTATTATTATTATTATTATTTTAATTAATTTCTAAATGCTGTATGGAACCCTTTCCAAGCATAGAACCTCCACATAAAGAAGGGATGGGGGAGTCTTTAGCCCTTCAGATGTTGATGGACTATGATTCCCATCAGCACTGACCATTCCTAGCAACAACATGTGGAGGCTCATTGTTTCTCCTCCGTGCTATGAAGTGGGTTTAGACATATGAAAAGCAGTGATAGCAATTACACCAAGAGGAGCCAGTGAGCTCCTTGGCTGAGTAGGGATTTATACACTGATCTCCTTGGTCCTAGGCAGATGCTTAGTCTAACCACTATCCCAGGATATGCTCCTTCAATCTTAGGTATGGGAGAAGGAGGATCCATAGCCTACTCACTTATCTTTTCATTGTGTGCTTTCTCCCCCGCAAGATCTCAGTTATTGGAGTTTATGAAAGTCTTCCTTGTTCTGCCTTCTCGGGGTTGAAAATAGGTGTTGTCACAAATGCAACAACCTTTGTTGCACGTAGGGTTTTTTTTGGGGGGGGTAAAGATTTATTAAAGCAGGAAAAGCCATTTATGTAGTCATTAAAAAAATGCATTCATGTCAAACAGCAGAGTAAGGGCTACACTCATCACTAATCCTATACATCACCGGCTTGTTTCTAACATGACATAAATAACAAGCTTTCAAACGGCAGCCCCCTGAGACTTATGGCAGCACTTGCAAACTAACACAATCCCTTTATGGCCACTTCATCTTGATGGCCTGCACTTTGTAAACCTTAAGCACCAAGATGCATTACCTGGTTCTGTACCAAAGACTTGGGATGATTTACGTACAGCACCACAGTGGAGAATTATCAGTGGAGATTCCATATATGTGTGTGGAATCTACACACACATAAAAACCGTTCCGAAAATGCTTTTTTTTTTTTTTAAATGCATTGAATTTTCCATAAGGCTCGCCATCACCATCTAGTGTCACATTGTATATTGCGCTTAAAGCGCACTTGAAACATTTTATTTATAGCTGAGTCCTGTAATTTGATTGCTGAGAACCACAAGCACCTACAGTAGCTAGTCCTTAGGACTCTCCAGATTCCCACCACCACCATGTTACAAAGGGAAAGGTTTTTTGTACAGCGCACACACACCCCATTTACACAAGGGTTATGTTCTCAGTGAACTCGCATAGATTTGAAACACCATTGAAAAATCCTGCAAACACCCCGTTCCACCCCTTTTGTGATGTTTTTGGGTCAATTCAGGGTTTGGCACAATGCACATGTGCATAGTTGTACACATATTGAACGCGCATAAATGGAGGGGGGTTTGCCTGTATAGAAAGCCATGGCCTCGTCTCCACTCTCCTGCCCAGCCCTTATTCCAGTTGTTCTGTGTTGGCTGCTATTGGAAAGGCTATTCTTCATGGGAGCTGTAGTCAGGAGCCCTTTAGAGTCAGGTAAGGGACCCAATGTGGGGAAAGATCCAGTCAGTGGGGGTTACATGCATTAGTATTCAAAGCTCCTTCCTATTAGCAGCCTACCAAATGGCAACTAATGCCATATTAGCAGCCTACCAAATGGCAACTAATGCCACATGGTTCATTTTAAAGCAGCTTCCTTATGGTGGCCATAAAATGCAGATCAACCTCAGTAAAGAAGGTATTCTTATGCCTTTGTTTAGTGGACCCCAATTTGCACTGGCTCAATCCTCTAGTGCAGCAATGTATTCAAAATAATCACTCTCTATATTCTTGCTGTTCTGGGGGAGCTACATGCAGGATGTTCCTTTTGGCAGATCAGGGGGTATATGTAGTAGCCTGGAATCTTGTTGAGACCCAGAATTCATCTTTCCTACCTACAAACTACTTTTAAAAAATCTTGGAGGCTGCGCATTCTCCCTGGGCAAAAGCCAATGTCTGCTCAAGGATGTCCTCCATCAGAAAATTACTAACATATTTGTTTGTTTAACCATATATCAATGTTTGTTGGCTTTTTTTAAGGCCTAAAGAGGACCTTGAAGCAGCATGTGGCAAAACCAATAAATGCAGTAAATGCCAGTTTAATGTCTGGATGTGCCATTGGTAGGGCTGGAGTGTTTCATTGATTTAATCAAACTGAACTCAGCTGACTCCTGGAGCCAAGTGAGCCAAGTTGGAGGGATCTGGGTGCCGCTCAAGTTGGGTTGAGACAACCCTGGTTCACGGCAGGTCAGGTTGGGTGGCCCACAGCTGTCAGGGGGTGGGGCTTCAAGCAGTTTCACATTTTTCCAGTTTTAAGTTCAGTTCTCCATATTGTGTCAGAAGGTACACATTAGGCTTGCGAGTCTACAGATTTTTTGGGGTGTGTGCCCCTCGAAAAATAAGTAGGGCAGCCTTCCAGGCAACCTGATACATAAATAATTCCCCCCCCTTTTATTCATTTATTCAGAATCATGTCTATTAAGATTTATACAAATTGGGATTCGTGAATTGATCTAATCAACCAAAGCTCATGCATTTCACCAAGATTAATTGGTTTGTTGTAGTTTGGTTTTGATTTAGCAGTAGTGTTTTCCTGTATCTGATTTTTTTCCACTACTTATTGTACATTTCTCAGATGTGTAGGCATATGGTGGCTAATAAATTTAATTAATAATATCATATAATCAGATTTGGTTTGGCAATAGCTCTAGTCAAGTCCTTGGAAGCAAACGTCTTCAGGAGCCAGATGGGTAAGAACAGTAACAGCTCCTAGATAATGCTAACCATGTCATCATATATTCTTTAAGGTTCTGGTGGGTGAGAGTGCAAGTCAAGGAAAGGATCACACTATTTGCGGGCTGTTCAGGGCTCCTGCTGAAGAAGCATCAACGATTCAGCCATTGCACGTCAGTGGGCTGGATATACTGATCTAGTTTATCTTGCATTCTTCATCCTCCCAAAGCTCACACACGATTGAAGAAGTGTGTTGTTAAAACTTGCCCAGTGCTAAAACCTTCACTTCTGAAAGAAAGGCTTTTGGCCTGTTGGCAGACGTCTCCCCCATGCCCTGTGCGAGATCGCGCCTATTCTTCTTCCTTTGAAGTAGCTGCCAGAATCGTGGGACCATCCCGGAATGCTCCATTCCCAGAAAAGCCTCGTACCCTTGAGAGTTGAGACTGCGTGTTGCAAATAGGAATTATCTGATGAAGACAGAAAGGTAGGTGGGCGGGAAAGCAATGTGTTGGAGCTGGAATAGTGCTCCTGGGTGTCCTTGGTCTCACGACACTGAATGCCTGCTGTGAAAAACTCTCACGTGGGTGTTGTCGTTTTAAAATACTGCGTGCATTCATGCCTAGGCATTTGCGCTCCGCTTATCCTTGGTATCAGAATGCTTGTGGGGTGGCTGCAAGCCTGGCAGAGCAGCCCATCCCCTTGCGTTTCATACCGCAGGGCCAAGAAACAAACGTTTATGGTTTGACTCTACAAAATATGTAATGCTCTCTACAGGATTAGATTCTGTTTGTGAGTTCCCACGGTAGAGATCTTGGCATCTGCCCAGAAGTATGCTATAAGACAAGTTCCCTCTGTAGCAAGCTTAAAGCCTCTGGGTGATATACACATCACAAATTGGTTGCGACTTACTTCTGCCTACCCCAGGCACTGAAGGATTCCATGGACAAAGAGCTTTGTTGCTCCTCTCTGGGCTGAGATGGTCCATGGAAGACCAGGGTGGAATCCAAGATTGTGCAAACAGATACCAGCATTTTACCTTCCTCTCCTTGCCCCTTACAGCCCCCTGCATCATGCAGAAATATTCTCTGAAGTGTCCTCTGAATCTCAGGAGCAGATTTTGTGGGTACATGCATATAATGCTAGATACAATCCCAGATTCCTATGAATGTATATTCAGTGTAAAGAGAGGTGCATATCTGACATTCATTTTCTTATACAGTGGTACCTTGGGATGCGAACGGGATCCGTTCCGGAGCCCTGTTCGCATCCTGAATAGAGCATAAGACGTGACAGCGCGTCTGTGTGTGGGTCGTGTTTTGCCACTTCCGTGCATGCGCATGACATCATTTTGACCGTCTGCACATGCGTGAGCGGCAAAACCCGGAAGTAACACACTCCATTACTTCCGGGTCGCTGCGGAGTGCAATCCGAAAATACTTATCCTGAAGCATATTCATCCCGAGGTATGACTGTACTGAGGCTCACTGTGTACAGCCTCCTGCCACCACTGAATATTGTTGAAGGCTCTTTTCTGCCTGCTGTATGCTATACCAGTTTTATTCTGCTGTAGACAGTCTGCTTTTTCCCTGGTGGGGAAGGCCACCATCATGCCAGTGGATTTGACCCATGAGGCCATTTGAGGCAAATTATGCCCACCTTTCCTACATCTGGCAACATATGCTAGCAGCTGCAGGAAAGTTAGAGCTGCGTTTGCAAAGGAATAATCAGGCATGCCCTCTAAGGTCACATTCACACAATACATTTTATAATGGCCCTTTTAAACAGTCGTGGCTTACCCCAAAGAATTCTGGGAGCTGCAGTAGTGAGAACTGTTATGAGGCCCCCTATTTCCTCACACAGAGCTTTGATTCCCAGACTGCCCTGTGAAGAGGGATTGATTACAAAACCACTCTTGAGAATGGTAACTCTGTGGGTGGGAATAAGGGTCAGCCTGGACAGCTCAGTTGGTTAGAGTGTGTTGTTGATATAATGGTTGCAGGTTTGATCCCTGTATGGGACGGTTGCATATTCCTGCATTGCAAGGGGTTGGACTAGATGATCCTCAGGGACATTTCCAACTCTCAGTGCCCTTAACAAACTACTGCTCCTGAGATTCTTTGGGGGAAGCCATGACTGTCTAAAGTGGCATTATGCCATGGAGGGTCTAAGTGTGCTTCTGGTTCTTCTTTGCAGCTTTTGCTTGGGAAGCGCCAGGCATCATATGATGCCCCTGGTGTTGTGTGTTCTCAGGTGACTGACAGATAGGAGGGTCCTAAGTGCCAATGTAAGTACGTAATTGCAGAGCAATGCGGAAATGAGATTGAGCTAACTAATGAATAAATCACATGTGAAATTCAAATGTGCTGGAAATATATTCATCTGTCCATCCCTAGTGAGTATGCTTCCCCCTTGCCTTTCACAACTGGCCTCTGGGTGTTTAACAAGCTTCTGGCAGGCCCAGAAGGTAATTTACATTGGGTGTGATTTTTTTGCATTGTTCTAGAAGGGGACACAAATTTGCATAAAATTTACATGCACTTGATTTATATGCACGGATGCAACTTTAGAGATAATTGCTGTAATTTAAACAAATGCATCTCCTCATACTCGAAAAGTTAATGTGACCTGTTCTCGCTCCATTGCCTGTCTGGGTGCTAAGTTTTTTAGCTTTTAAACTGGACTCAGACAGCCTTTCAAATAGAATATGCCTTCAAGCAGGACTGTCCTGTAACAGGCTTTCAACAGAGGACTGCAAAAAAGGACACATGGTGGCCCTATCATACCTTCCAATGTGTTGAGTCTCAAAACTGGTATGCACATCTTCTTGGCCATGCTCTTGCACAAGATCACAGAGCCCAAAAGACATGTTTTTTGGGGAGGGGAGCTGTGCTCTCACAGCACCCCAAAATGTATGTTTCCAGGAGCCACACTTTTTTCAGGGCAAGATCATGGTGAACAATCATGTGAGATCACAGTGCCCCAAATGACCATTATGTTCTCAAAGGAAAAAATGGGATGTCTTGGTTTTTCTGGGATGCTTGCAGGGTATGCCCTAAGCATTGGCGAAGTTTGAAAACTATGTTCATAGCTGCAGTGCTATTTTTCTGGAAAAAGAGGTGCCAGAATTCATCACGAATGCCTCCCTTGTTCTCTTATAATGGCAATGGCGCTCTTCTGAGGGGTGCCCAAACTGAGTTCCAGCTGAAAAATGCATAGCTGAACATTTTAATGTATGAAATATTCAGTTTTACTTACTTGCCCAGGATTCTGAGTTGGGAGTTAACCTCAGTTAATGCAGTCCGTCCCTTGCCCAAGATTTACACCCCACCATTGTGGCTCAAATTACAAACTTACAGTGCACACATTTTGAAACATTTTCATTTGTTCATTTGTTTCTCTTTCTGATGCTAACAATAAGAATATTGTGTTCCCCCATGTATCCACTGTGACCGAGGCTTGCATTTAAATTAATTAAAAAGCAACTTGCTAACCGTTTTTGGCTGTGTCTAATGAGGCTCATGAGGCTACTTTTGCCATTATCTAGATAATTGATTAATAGGTCACTTCTGAACGTTTGCTTAGTTGCTAATTATTGTGTACATTTTCACCATCTCACGGTCTACATTTCTTTACAAATGGAAAATCAAACTGGTATCTTAAACCCTGGTATTTAAGTCCTGCTGTCTCTATCAATGGAACACAGGGGAAGAAGGGCAAAAGTCTGGATAGGCTGTGTACATTGGCCAGAATGCAGTAAAGCAAGTGTACCTGTGTATTTGGGAGGGGGACTCACATCTTCTTACTTCACACACATATGATTTAGGGCGGATATGACAATTGTTCCTCTCTTCAGCCATTATTCATGTTTGACAATTAGATTTGAAAATCCATTGAAATGCTGACCAAAACAGAACTTTTTAAAAGTGTGTTCCTTATGCTTCCCCCCCAGCAGGAAACTGAAAAGTCTCCAATTCTACAACATGTTTCTTTTATCTCTTACACCTTATAGACCCAGATGTTACGGTATATCTAAACTGCAATCCTATGCCCATTTATGAATGTCCCATTGAACTTGAGTTAGGCCTACTTCTGAGCAGACCTAGGATTGTATGGTTCGTCTTTCTTTCTTTCTCTCATAGCACTTGAGTCACAAAAAATGGCAGCTGAAAACATCCAACATAATAAGAATCAAACATGTGCGTGCATGTGTATGTTCTTGAATGGCAGCCTGGATATTACCCACTTTCCTTCGCGTGCGTGTATGTATAAAGGGGAGAGAAACACTTTGTGTTGCAGAACTTCCTGTTGCACAACTTTAGATGCCTTGGAAAAAAACTCATTTGGCAATCCCCAGTCTCCCTTTTAATTAATGCAGACATAAATTGCATGAATGCAGTTTAATGTGCATGTTTTGTGTTCTGTAAATAGCTGGCTGAAGCTTGGGCAAGCGCTCTCAGTATCCCTACCAAGGTCCCAGGAGTTCTGGTTTGCTGTTCAAGGGATGCTGCCATTAGTGTCACTGGAGGCAGGACCAGGGAAGGGCCCATTGCTGATATCTCCCCTGGCTCAACCCTGCCTTTTCCCCCTGACCGCTCTGGCTCATCCCTAATTGAGACTTCCCTTGACATGCAAAAAGTGGATTCCAAGGGTCTTATTTTTGTTGGAACGATGGTGGAGAAGAGAGAGAGAGTTAAACTGGAGGGTCCCAGGGCTGCTCAGGCTTCCCCAACAGTGCTAATTGCATTTGTGTAATTCACGGGTGGTGCTGTGGTCTAAACCACAGAGCCTAGGGCTTGCTGATCAGAAGGTTGGCGGTTCAAATCCCTGCAATGGGGTGAGCTCCAGTTGCTCGGTCCCTGCTCCTGCCCACCTACCAGTTCGAAAGTACATGAAGTGCAAGTAGATAAATAGGTACCGCTCCAGCTGGAAGGTAAACGGCATTTCCATGTGCTTCTCTGGTTCACCAGAAGCGGCTTAGTCATGCTGGACACATGACCCGGAAGCTGTACGCCAGCTCCCTCGGCCAATAAAGCGAGATGAGCGCCGCAACCCCAGAGTCGTCTGCAACTGGACCTAACGGTCAGGGGTCCCTTTACCTTTAACTTAATGTTAATTGTATGATACCTGCATACACATAACAAACCTTATGTCTGCTTTGGTCTTAAGCCTTGGAATGAATCAATGTACAATTCTGAACCTGTGTATGTTTATGATGGTCTTATTAGCATGACTCTACTGAGTCACTGAAAACAGATGCCTGCAAGTCAATAAAAATTACTTGCTAATAAATTCAGGCTTCCCGTGTAATCAAATAGTCTTTGAAGGTCGCAGGAGCCAAGTGAGCTACTTGCAGGAGTGTTATTTGCTTAAAATGTACAATATAGATCATTTGTAAAACTGTGGGATCATTGCCTGTTTGTTCTGGAGAGTTTTGGGGTTTGTGAAACTGCCTGTGCTGGCTTACATATAACTCCTAAACATGCACAATGAGGGCTATGGGACCAAAGCCCTGAGTTGATGTGCTCTCGTCCCACAGTGTACGGAATCTTTAATATGAACTGTAATTTGGGCATATGCATCAAAAGTGCCAGCTCCAACTGGCTTTCTATACACCAGCTTGTAGTGGCTGGCACCCACTATTTTAATTCCCACACTCCCGGGAAATTGGTCTGCAGTGATGCTATGCCCAGATGCATTGTGGGTAAATTAAAATGGCAGGTGCAAGCAGCAGTGCTTTCTAGCCAGACTGCTGTTTTTGCTACTGCTGTGCCTGGAAAATGGCAGCAACAGAAAACACACAGGGTGTTACATAGGTCATATGCCATGAAAATAAGCCCCCCTCCCATATCAGGGCAGCATGACCCCCTGTGGGACTCACCAAGGGCCCCAGAAAATCTGGTGCAAGCCCTGAATGAATTGTTTTTTCTTGTTTCCATGCCTTTTAATGCATCTAGGATTTTCTCTTTGCCTGTAAGCCTGGATATGAGCATTGTTTACAGACCTTCAGCACACCACCTTAATGATGGCTCCATATTGCTGACGGGTGAAGCAGTCCTGCTTCTCAGTTTCCTATCTAAGTGCATTAAAGAGATTAAGACACTTTGCAAATTAAAAGCATTTTATAAATGATCAGTGGTGGCATGTTACTTGGCTTCTGTGTCAATCTCTGCTTACGTGCAGTCGTAAAATACCACACTTCCATGCAAAACTGTCTATTAAAAATAATATTTACTAGGGTTTTTATATAGAATTTTCCTTTAAAAAGATTGATGGTGATGAGAATAATTGATCTTTTGCACTTAATATGCATTAAGGTCACAGTTTACGCCATGGATCCATTTCTGTTAATGACAGTCAAATGAGGAGCTATTTTCAGAATCCATAAATAGACACCTTAATGTTGGGGACTTGAAATAACAAACAACTGGTAATTATTGCTTGGAAGCATGTGGGTTTTAAAATAGGAGCTAATGGCCTAAGCAATATACCTGAACACAAAGCTTCTGTGTTTATTTATTTATTTTTGTTTGTCTGCTTAGAACATTTGTTGACCAGCCAATCAACAAAGTCTCCTGGGCAGTTCAGACAAAATTCAAATGACATATAGTTAAAATGTTAGAACACCAAACATTAATTAAAACATTAAAAACATTTTTTTAAAAGTCAATCAAAATCCTGCTGTAGGGTGAAGTATGCACAGTAATTTGGAATTCAGCCGGCTGTATATTTCATCCTGTCTCACTGTGATACCCCCTCCCCAAATGCTATTCAAAAGGGCACTTTCTTTATGCCATTTAAACCACAGCTCCTAAGGCACACTCTTCCATTAACTCCCAAGACAGATGGATGCCAGCCAACCAACCAATGGCTTTATTGGGTGAAAGTAATTATCCGGCCCAACTGTTTCCTGACCCCAACCGTAACCTGGGATCCAAAGTGTTGGTTAATATTAGTACAAATCCAGCTATTCCTACTCTGATTCTGGTCAAAGCCCCCCATCTACCTCTTCCCCCACCCTAA